TCAGCTTGTTGAGAACGCTGATGAGGTTATGGTGCTCGACAACGAGGCCCTCTATGACATCTGCTTCAGGACTCTAAAACTCACAACGCCTACTTACGGTGACCTCAACCATTTGGTCTCTGCTGCTATGTCTGGTGTCACTACTTGCTTGCGATTCCCCGGTCAGCTCAACGCTGATCTCCGTAAGCTTGCGGTCAACATGATCCCGTTCCCCCGGTTACATTTCTTCATGACGGGCTTCGCCCCTCTCACCTCTCGTGGCTCTCAGCAATATCGCGCTCTTACCGTGCCCGAGTTGACCCAGCAAATGTTCGATGCCAAGAACATGATGTGCGCGTCTGATCCTCGACATGGTAGATATCTGACCGCTACCGCTCTCTTCCGTGGCCGAATGTCGACCAAGGAAGTCGATGAGCAAATGCTCAATGTCCAGAATAAGAACTCGAGTTACTTTGTCGAGTGGATCCCCAATAACATCAAGAGCGGTGTCTGCGATATCCCCCCCAAGGGCCTCAAGATGGCCGTGACCTTCTTGGGTAACTCCACTGCCATCCAAGAGATGTTCAAGCGGGTGGCTGAACAATTCACTGCAATGTTCCGAAGGAAGGCTTTCCTCCATTGGTATACTGGTGAGGGTATGGATGAGATGGAGTTCACTGAGGCTGAGTCCAACATGAACGACTTGGTTTCCGAGTACCAACAGTACCAAGATGCCACTGCTGAGGAAGAAGGTGAATTCGACGAAGAGGAAGGCGAGTATGATATGGAACCCATGTAATTACCTTCCGTGCTCTCCATCATTCTGATCCTCTGGTTGCACCATTGTAGACGTAAGTGCTGGAGCCTCGACTTGTTCTTGGGCTTCCAGGGTCTACAGGTTGGATGTGTCAGTTATAAGTCGGTATTAGTATGAGGTTTATCGATCTCTTTGCTTCTCCGCGGTAACTTCTGTCACGTCTACTGGTGCGCTAGCTGCGTAACGATTGGTGGTTTTTCTTGGTTGTTGCGTTCAAAGGTCGGGGTTCTGGTTCACTGCGAGAAATTAGCGAGGTACATTGGAAATCAACAGTGGGCACTTTCAAGCTGCTTCGTAGTTCGAGTATCCCTCATCTGTGAGAGATACTCACAGTGGAGATAAGATAGCATTCCGTTCGCTCGTGGTGTACCTACTTTATGTTGGAATGGAAGATTCAAACCTCACATCAGTTTACCTGTGGCTACCGAGTCCGTGAGTTTGTGGCAGTTCATGTTGATCTGATCTACATGTTCAAAGCTCCGCTGAGTTCCTTTTAGATGAGCCCCAGTCCTGCCGCGACTTACTTTCAGTCAGACCATTTTGGAGATGTGCAGGAACCACCGGGCCAGGTCTCACCGGTATGTTTGCAGTTTTGCCTTCCTCACCATCAAATGATGATTCCTCAGGTAGCTTCCCAACCGTTTCGGTTATGCAAATCGATTAGGGCGAACTTTCGAGCTCACCTACGTCCGTGACTGATTGCGTCTGCTTGGTGGTTTCCATTGCGGGCTACTGTACGATCAGCTTGCTCAACTGCAGATCCAATCTGTTTCGTTTGGGGCAAAGCAAGATTGGGCGTGCACCTTCCTTCCACACTGCCTCTTTCAGATTCCCTTTGTCGCTACTTCAGCGCTTTCCCTAGTCCTCCAATATGCGTGAAGCTATCTGCATCCACGTCGGTCAGGGTGGTCTTCAGGTTGGTAATGCCTGTTGGGAGCTCTTCTGCCTCGAGCACGGCATTCAGCCTGATGGACAAATGCCTTCTGATAAGACCATCGGTGGTGGTGATGACGCCTTCAACACTTTCTTCTCGGAGACTGGTGCCGGCAAGCATGTCCCGCGATGCGTCTTCGTTGATCTCGAGCCCACTGTTATTGATGAGGTTCGAACCGGCACCTACAGGCAACTCTTCCATCCTGAGCAACTCATCTCTGGTAAGGAGGACGCTGCTAACAACTTCGCCCGCGGTCACTACACCATTGGCAAGGAGATTGTCGATCTCTGTCTCGACCGTATCCGTAAGCTTGCTGACAACTGCACTGGTCTGCAGGGCTTCCTCGTGTTCAATGCTTGCGGTGGTGGTACCGGTTCTGGCTTGGGCTGTCTCATTCTTGAGCGCCTCAGTGTCGACTATGGCAAGAAATCGAAGCTCTCTTTCACTATCTGGCCTTGCCCTCAAGTCTCTACTGCCGTAGTAGAGCCCTATAACACCGTTCTGTGCGTCCACTCCCTCCTCGAACACACTGATGTCACCTGCCAGATGGATAATGAGGCTCTCTACGATATTTGCCGTCGTATCTTGACATCGAGAGACCGACCTACACTAACCTCA